GACTTCTGTAACATGTTTTGAATAAAATATTATCAGTAAAAACTTCAAATCATGTCCTTTCATTAGAACTAGAAGAACTTTAACTCAGCAGAGTTTCTCCCAGGATTTTTTTAACCGTGGTGGTGACCTCTCATGTGGGGTTTTGACAAAATCTGGTTGTCCAAAAAATATCTCAATAAAATATCATTTAATAAGTAGGCTATATTGTTCTGCATACAAAGTGTAATATATACAAATGTTCTCAGTCAGCAGTCGCTCTGTGTTAATGCGCTGCGGGAAACCCTGCAGTAATAATTTAACCAAATTGATAAAATGTTTTTGTTCTGTTTTATTGTCCATGAGAGTTTTATACTCAACAAGAATTCTTGTGATGTTTTAGGTCCCGTAAGATCTTGTGCCACCTCTTTTTGAGACAGTCCTATAGTTTTGCTTGACACAATGCATAGTTTTTGATGTTTCGCCCTTCAAACCTGTATCATTTAAAAATATTTCTTAAACATTAACATACAAAACATAGGCTGTGTGTGTTTTTTTAGCGGTTAATTTTGGTGAAGTTGATCTTCGTTTTAACTCTGACCATCCCTGGTTTGTCTGGCAGCTGTTGCAGATGCCATCAGAACCAGTCTTGGACCCAAAGGAATGGACAAGATGGTGAGTGAACARATTTCAAACTTACTGATTTAGTCTTGGAAATACGTGTAACAAATTGGAGACCATTGTATGTTTCAGATCCAAGATGAAAAAGGTGACGTGACTATTACCAATGATGGAGCCACTATACTGAAGCAGATGCAGGTGCTCCACCCTGCAGCGAAAATGGTAATGTCTTTATAATGGGTGACCAAAAAACTGATTATTTGTTTTTAAGTCAAACTTTGTCGTATTAAGTGTTGTTTAAGCCTTTCAAGAGCTAATCTAGATTTAAATGTATGTGTTAGCTGGTAGAACTGTCCAAAGCACAGGACATTGAGGCTGGAGATGGCACCACCTCTGTAGTTGTGATTGCTGGAGCCCTGCTCGATGCCTGCTCCAAACTGCTGCAGAAAGGTAAAAAGAATTTCAGGAGACATTGAGAATAAGTGTTTGTGGGGTGTCTCGTCTGTTGTCTGTATTTCAGTGATGTTGTTTACTTTACGTTTTCTGACAGGTATCCACCCCACTATCATCTCGGAGTCCTTCCAGAAGGCTGTCGATAAAAGCGTAGAGGTTCTGACCAACATGAGCCGACCAGTGGAACTGAGTGACCGCGAGACACTTCTCAACAGTGCCACCACATCCTTGTGCTCCAAGGTGGTGTCGCAGTACTCGAGCCTGCTGGCACCCATGAGCGTGGATGCTGTCATGCGAGTCATCGACCCAGCTATGGCCACCAGCGTGGACCTGCAGGACATCAAAATCATCAAGAAACTTGGGTAAGTTTCATTTTCAGGATCTTGTTTTATTTATTTATTTTTCATTTTGTAATTTTTTCTTTTTGAGATTTTTGTAAGTCATATTCACAAATTAGTGTTTTGTTCCCAGAGGGACCATTGATGACTGTGAGCTGGTGGAAGGGTTGGTGCTGACCCAGAAGGTGGCCAACACTGGTGTGACTCGGGTTGAAAAAGCCAAGATCGGCCTTATCCAATTCTGTCTGTCACCTCCCAAAACTGATGTGAGTCACTTGATGAATCTGAGCTGATATTCAGTCCATCTGATCAGCTGTTAATGGTATCTTACATTGAAGTTTTCAAAAGACTGGTGTGGTTTTTAATCTTTTTTTTTTTTGATCAAAGTCTTTTTATTATTTTTTTAAACACAAACTACAGAAAAAAAAACAAACAAGAACACAAAACAAAACACACACACCCAAAATCCCTCCCCTCCTATACCGGATCTACTGCAACAACATAAAACCATCTTGTATTCATAAATCAGTGATATAATGAACATGTTTGTGTACATGAAACAATATTTGACCTTTACACAAAATTATCTGCTGAAATTTTTTCTACGTACGATATAAATGGCTGCCAGATATCAAAGAATTTGTTTACAGATCCCCTAACAGTATATCTAATCTTCTCTAAATGAATGTAAGACATAACTTCTCTTAACCAATGACCATATAATGT